CATTTCAGCCAGCTGTGTGGCCCTTGTGCTGCTCATATGTCTGTGTATCTGCCTGAAGAGGTGCTAACTTCACCTGCTGATATGGTCAGTAGCACCATGCAATGTCTGTCCACTTTAATATCATGTCTCACATTAATTTAATGCTGAATAAAATTATGCACAATTTTTTATACTAATTTACAAAGTAGTTATAAAATAATGCTTATATAAATGTTAAATGCTGTTGGATCCATGCCTTTATGTTTTAAATATAAGGGTGTACACATATAAGAATGTAGAAGTTTGTGTGCAAGAATAAGCACAGGAAGTTTACTTTGGTTACTTTGGATAAAGCTGTAAATTTTTATTTTTTAAACTCTTTGCTTTTGACACTAATTTTGAAGCAACAAAAGCAACAAGTTCAGAATTTGGATGATCACAGGCACATTACTGTGTTGGAATTAAAATCAAGCGTTTTTTTATTTATTGTTGAGGGACAGAAGTATTTCAGTCCACCATGTTAAAAATATCTATATAACCCATACGCAAATGTAATATGTGTACATACATATTAGATTTACACATATTAAATATGCTGTCATATGAAGTAAAAAACATATTTGAAGATTTTATATATCAATATATATATATATATAGTCCTTACAAATATGTATGTTTATGTGGTCACACTTTATTTTAAGGTCCAATTCTCACTATTAACAAACCATTAACTACAACTTTTGTCTCAATAAACTCCAAATTTGCTGCTTAGTAATAGTTAGTAAGGTAGTTGTTGAGTTTAGGTATTGGGTACACTGTAAAAAACTTGGCCCTTTAGAACTGAATGTTACATTCCATTTGACCCGAAACTGTATGGCTGTTCCTTAAATGTTGAGTGTCACATTTGTCTGAAGTTTCCAGAGGAGGATGAGCTCCTCCAGTTGAGCCTGGTTCCTCCCAAGATTATTCTCCCTCTTCACATAAACATCTTTATTGAGCTTTTCTTTGCTACTATCACTTTGACTTGCTTCCCAAGGACATTAAGGCAATAAACATCTCTACACCTGCTTTGAAACATTTTTCAGCATTGGAATCTATTTTAAGTGTGTAAAACCTTTTTTTTTACCCAGTGTATTTTGCAGAGCTGTTCACACATTGAATTCTGTGAACAGTGGAAACATTGTGGCTCTGTGGTGTTTGTTAAAACACTGCTCTGTGTGTGTGAGCTGTAAACCTCTGGCTCAATCAGTTTGAGCTCGACTATTTGTAGTAACTGGTGCTACTATCACTTTGACTTGCCTCCCAAGGACATTAAGGCAATAAACGTCTCTACACCTGCTTTGAAACATTTTTCAGCATTGGAATCTATTTTAAGTGTGTAAAACCTTTTTTTTTTACCCAGTGTATTTTGCAGAGCTGTTCACACATTGAATTCTGTGAACAGTGGAAACATTGCGGCTCTGTGGTGTTTGTCAAAACACTGCTCTGTGTGTGTGAGCTGTAAACCTCTGGCTCAATCAGTTTGAGCTCGACTATTTGTAGTAACTGGTTTATTCGAGAATTTACTAGTTTATTTTTGACCTCTGTATCATTTAGAAAAAAATGAATATCATTTAAAGAAATATTTTAATTGTATAACCGACCACAAATATACTCTATAAATAGACTTGCCCATGTTGTAGTGTTCCCATGCAGTTAAAGGCATAGCCCAGGGGTGCCCAAACTCGGTCCTGGAGGGCCGGTGTCCTGCAGAGTTGAGCTCCAACTTGCCTCAACACACCTGCCTGGAAGTTTCTAGTATGCCTAGTAAGAGCTTGATTAGCTGGTTCAGGTGTGTCTAATTGGGGTTGGATCTAAATTCTGCAGGACATCGGCCCTCCAGGACCGATTTTTTCCACTTTAAACAATATTTTCATAGAGAGAGGGGGAAAAACAATCCAGATTTTCATATTGGAAGCACCTCAGGACTTGGGGAATTGGTCACATCTGCTTGAACAAAATGGGTGAAATTATTTTAAATTCACCATCATTTAAAAAAAATATGTGATATGATAAAATAAAACTAACTTTCATGTTACCCATTATTGTAAGACGTATATGATGGAGTCATGAAGATGTACCGCATAGTAGAAATGAACCCAGGCAGCAGTAGTTTTAAGCTGTAAAAGTAGTTTATTTTTCATTCCGTTTCAATATTGATGCAATCTCATGTGAGACAGGAAAGAGCCTCAACTGGATTAATAAAGGAACATTGTTCATCATTCAACCCAGCCCTGTATCAACTCAAGATGGAGAACATTAAGTAAAACATTAGCTGTAGGAGCTGGAGGATTATATTGAACACTTGTTGTTGTTAAAAAAAGAAAAGCTTTTGCTGTGTAATTATAGGATATTAAAACATTTCTTTTTCCTGTCTTTTCTTTCTTCAGGCTGACTGAAATGAAAGGAGATGCTGCTATGTTCAGATGTTCACCCTGACCAAACAACAGTGTTCCCTCTGTCTGAATCACAGACGAATCTGAGTCAACGTCTTCTAATATAACTGATATTCAGTGTAACAGTATATAAAAAAAAATTTAATCACAACACTAAATGCCTTATTTATTATAGACTGTATATTTTAGTAAAGCATTTTTTCTTAGCGAAGCTGTACTGAATCATACTCTTTAAAGTGACCTAAATATAAGCAGACTTATATTATCTGAATGCTGACATTCTAGAAAAGTCAATAACCAGAACATGTTATTGTTAGCTTTACTGATGTTTTGATGTGTGTAATAAAATAACAGAGTTTTATCAGGGGAACACTCTTGTAGACATGAGCACTTATGTATTTTATGTGTTTTATATAAGTTCTCTGAAATCTCTCAAATAAAAAAGTACACATGCACTTTCTTAATTTTAAACTGTGTGACATTGTTGGACATAAGATATTGTATATAATTTTGCATTGTTAAAAGATAAACATAAGGTGAGTCAGAGGTGTACACCATATGTTTTCACTCTAATAATAATAATGTACAAGGTCTACAGCAAATTTCATAACATGTTAAACAGTAGAAAATATATAACTAATAATTCCTTATCAGTTTCATATTTTTATACATATCTCTTTCTGAACTCATTGTTTTGCCCATCTATTCTATGATATATGCTGTATTTTTATTTATTTTTTTGTGGATAATGGGTTTATCTAGATATCTTATCAATATAAAAACAAAACAGGGTAGTATATATTGTGTTTCGTGATGTTTCATAAGGAATTTATTAAAGAAAAATATATTAACAATCAGCAATTCACAAATACAACAACACAACATTTCTGAAACAACTGTGGAGTAATAATTTCCACAGTTGGTCTTATTACTACTTCAAAGCAATCTGAACGGCAATATATGAACTGAATTTCTGAAGTATTACAGTCACTTAATCTTTACACAACATTAACAACTGAATGACCAAAAAAATAAAACATCTCTTCACATTGCCTGATGATTCAGAAGCATATTAAATAACATTCTGTTCTTCTGATGCTGCTCTGCATCAGTGCACAGGTACAAAAATGGTACAAAACTGTCACTGGGGCGGTACCCTTTATAAAGGTTTAGTACGTATGTATATATGTTTAAAGTACTAATGTGAAACTTTAAAGTATATGTACCATAAGGGTAAATAGGGTACAAAGATGTACATTTTAGCTTTTGTAACTTAGGGCATCACCCCAGTGACAGCTTTGTACCTTTTTTCTGTGAGAGTATAGTTTCTTAAACACGGTATACAACAGAGGTCAGCACGTCTGAGTTCAGATAGAGATGGGGAGGAAGAAGCAGGTCATTTTTTTGTGTTTCCATGTACTGTGGAAGTGAAAACAGCATTTAAAAAAAAAAAAATTTTTCAACAGATACGATAAAAAGTTCCACAGACATATTTAAAACAAAACATATCTGATTTTTATTTGCCATATCTTTTCTTGTAGACTTTCTCCCTAAAATATTTCATAGGATTATGCAAGGAAACACAAAACTAGTATCATTTATAAAGCAACTGTTATGTTTAGTTAAAACACTCGAATCACTCACCTTGGCGTCTAAAGATATAAAGAAATGATACAATCATAACTATGAAGACCAGCCCCACTATTCCACTGCAGATGTATACAAAATACCAAAGCCACTGCAGACCATCGTTTGGAGGTGTAGGTACTTAACAAGGAGAAAATATTAAAGAGATGGAGTAATTATCCTACATAAAAAGTTGACAATAATATCGTGTTGTAAAGGTCATGTCCTTACTTGTGTTGTTCGGAGTGGGTGAAAACTCTTCGCTCTTATTATCAGCTGAAAATATAATAAAAATAAATAATTAAATAATAGTTTACAATTTGTAATCAACAAAATGTGTGAATGTTTACATTCTATTAGTGAATCTAAAGATATTGTCTATTACCTGTCACAGTCACATTAATAGCATGGCCTATAGACATGTCACCTTCTTTACATCTGTAGAAACCTGTATCCTCCATTGAGATGTTCAGGAAAACCAGGAAAGCCATCCCTTCATGTTCTGTGATGTTTGTCCACTCAGTTCTTAAGTGATTTGAGTAATTTAAAGATTTACAGACATCTCCATAGAGTTTGCACCATGAGACCCTTGGGTTCCTGTTGACATCCAATTAGAGTTATAGTACAGTTTATCTTCAACTCGGTCATAACAGGAGCTAGAAACACTGTGTTTCGTGCCACTCTGACCAATGAATAACAATTCATCTCAGACCCTAAAGGAATGAAGAAGAAAAAAATAGATCAAGAAAAAAAGTAGAGAGCAAATTTTTAGTATGTCAGGTCTTTAGATAGTTGCATTGACATCATCCACTAAATTAAACTGTTTAAGACAAGCTAAATTTTCATACAATCCTGAAAAAAGTTTTTGATACTGTTATTTAAACTAATAAGAATATTTACTGGTATAAACATTAATAGGACAACTTTATAGAACTTTATATATAAAGTACAAATCTCAAGTGTGCGTGTTTGTACAAATGCTGAAACACCTCACTCTATACATCTATGATGAATTGTTTCGATTTTTTTTCATAGAGGTGGTTTAACATTTCATAGTAACCATTAGTGTAATGCAGCATATTAATGTCTGAGGCTTTACCTTTGCTTATTCTATGGTTTTGGACATAAAGTCAAAGGTTCTTCATCTAAATTAATTAGATTTAAGATGTATTAGATAATTATTCAAATGTAGGTATACAGAGGTATCTAAAATATAAATGAAAATTCTCTTATTCAAATTTATAAGAAAATATTTACCAGCATGTAAAATAAATTTATAATATATAATAATTGTATATAAAACTATTATATGTCAGTGATTTTGTTTCTTCAATGCAACAAACAGCAAAACTTTTGTCAGGTCAGGTAAATAACAATACTCACAAAACCCTCGGAACATTATCTGCCATATGCATTGCACACATGCCATGGCATTACATTTAACAAATATACCATAATACATCCCAACACATCACATTAAGGAATATATATCTGACTGACATCAGTCAGTCTATAGGGCAGGTCAGAATACTCACCATTCGTGGTGCTGCTGGCAATGGCACACATCGATATCACAATAGTGGCCAGGATAATCTGGAAGACAGAGTTGCTTAATGTTGAAGGTCTTTTATCAGAAAATGCATATTTAAAAACTAATATAAAAATGAGAGCTGTGCACACTGTCATATGTGGGTGAAATGGAAGCTGTAAGTTTATCCAAGACATCTCTTACCATCTCTGTTTCTCTTTTCTTGTACTTCTTAACTTGTATCTTCAAATCCTTGAATCACAGGTGCTTTTCACCTGCGTAGTTTCTCACCAATTCTTTTTATTTGTTAGTCGGCTTTGTGTCTGTGTCCGTTTCTGATGGTTGTTCTTCTTAGTTTGTCTTCTTTCCTCATTGACAGTGTCAAACCTCATCTTGTGTCTGTAGTGGTTTCACACACCTTGTCCAGGGTGGTTGAACCTTCATGCAAATATTGAAGACAAAAAGGGATTAAGAAACAGTAGGCAGTGTTACCAATTTAGCCGTTTTGTTGCTAGATTTGGTAACTTTTCCATAGACTATCCTATAGAAGCACCAAGCAAATAGCTATTTAATTTAATTTAATTGAGCTATTTTTAAAATTTATTTGGCAACTTTTAGAAACGTTTGAAAAGTGACTCAATCAATAAAAAGACATTCCCTGTAACCCTATAACACAACAAAATGCAGAGCATAATTAAAAATACAGGTAAAATAACTGTGAAAAGCAACACGGAAAATTCTTTCATACTGAGACTTCTTTTCATATTTCATAATGTGCCCAATTTTTTTTGTGTTTTTTTTTTTACAAACCTTTCTATTACCTAACTAAAAATATACTACTTAAAACTATAGCCTATTGTGTAGTTTTACTATTTATTATGAAAATACATTAAATGTAATTGTTTAAGAACATGTAACTTCAATAATTCAATGTTGTGTTTATACTACTACACATAATATGTTTATATTACTTTTATGAACACATCTAAATGAACATATTTCAAATTAAATTTTTCGCTGAGATAACTAGTCACTTTGAGTAATTTCATGCAATGACACGATTTTACCAATTTTATGTTGTTACATAACGACGTTATCGTGTAATGACATTTCAACGTCATTTAGCAACTTTTAGCAACAAATCAACCTGCCTTTAAGCAACTTCCACTGAAAATGGTTTGGCAACACTGACAGTAGCACAATGAGTTCAAATGAACTCAGTGGCACCTCCTTGTGGATAATAACTGAACAGCAGCACAGTCAGAATACTCAGATTAATTGTGACTTTAACAAAGGCCTAAATGAGCTTTCAGAGATACACAGTGTGCAGAGTTTCAAATCTTAAAAAAAAAGACATTAGTACATTTACATTACATTCTTTGCATCATAAATCCTACAGTGATCTAGATGGAAATGTTAGATTGTTCAGTGCTTTTTAACATTCTTCTGTGCTCCTCCTATCATAATCTCAGTCAAAAATGAACCACATTATTAGTATGTTTGTGATGTGGTTCCCTTTCAGGTAGCACATTCTACAGTCTATAACAGAAAATATCAAATATTTACCTTGTTTTGCATAATAACTAGGGGTGTAACAAGTAGAAAATATCAAATTTTTACCGAAGGCACCGAAGAAGCCCATTTCTTGCCATTACACATAGGTTTGCAGCCTGATTATGTTTTCCCCCATATGTTTCTATTATACAGCTGCAGTTATATATATATATATATATATATATATATAAGATTTAAGGTAGGGGTGGTATAAGGGACTCTCTATATATCTATATAATACAAAAAATTTTAATATATATTTCTAATAAAAATATAAAAATTGTGAGAATTGTTAAATACTTTTACATTTTATATGCTACCAATAGATCAATATTGTACATTTTAGTATTTATGCAAACATACAAAAATGTATGTGGTAAACATTGAGTATGAAAACCTATGAATGAGATGATAATTTGTATGAGTAAACTATAGCAAAATATCTAGTGCAACCAAAGTAGTTTTTACAGAACTTTGTTTATGTACAGAACCACAGGAAGTCTAAGGAGTTACCACTTCCTGTCTCTTGCAAGAAGCCCTAAGCTTACCTTATACCATGACTGATGGCTTTTTAGTTGCCATTGGTAACAAGAAATCATTGCTTACAGTCATCATATCATAAATCACTTCAATAAAGTGCTCCTACAGATTCAAATAAATATGTTCACTTGTTTTGACAAA